TTGGTATAATAGCGCATGAATGACGCCCTCTTGCTAAATTGGAAACTTTTGAACCTTGACCGACGCTTCTATTTGTTACGCGTAAATCGCGGAGAACGCTATCTTGTGTTTATAAGATCTTTGGTTTTTGTACTTTGCATCTCGCACACTGCGATCGATCGAGTATGCCTGAGATATGTTTGTTTAGGCCTAATTGTCAAAATCTCAGTCAGAATCATTTTTTAACGGATTTGAAATAATTCCTTTGAAATATTATATTTCACAAGTGTCAATACTACCTAGCAACGGAAAATATCATCATGATGGCCGTTTTTATGTGTGATAACAGAACCTAAATCGAGGTAAGGCCTAGCCTAGCAGTGTTGAATAGGCTAATGTTTTCAGCGTCTACTATGTTTCTTGGCAGACCTATCGCAAAATCAAACATGAGAAATCCATCCGCATTTATTTTTTGTGTGGAACACAAACAAAATCAAATTTCAGTCTTGTTTTACATTTTTTTCATGTTTAGGAATGTCTAAATTTAGTTAAATTAGCAATTTTGTATTATATTTATAAATCTTTATAACATATAAAAATCAGATTTTTCATAACAACCGAAATCTTGCTGGGAATGGGGCTTTAATAGGCGTATATTTTAAGATGTAGATTCTGGTTGTTAGGCTTTATGTGTACTTAAGATAGATTCCGATTGATGGGCATATATTATTTTCTTAGACTGCAATTGTTAGGCTTATATTATTAGTAAGGGTACATCTGTGTGGCATACTAAATTTATATCATTATTTTAATTTTTAGCTCTCAAAGAGAATGTTCAGGCTTCCACGAGTCTTCCACCTGAGGTTGAAGGTCAGTTACGATGTTACTTGAGAGTTAGCGTGACAAAGATCGTCTGGACAATTTCAAACCATCCAGATGTTGTTCATGTACGCCTTCGATGGTGGGGTGAACTGTCAAATGGCACTGTTTACAGGTTAGTCTGTTGGTTAGCTCACTCCAATTCCATACACAAAGCACAGTGATATTGTAAGCAATGGGTTATTCCTGTCTCTTATACACATCTTTTTTAAAGATTTTGATTTATTATTTGATATTTTGCGATTAATATACCCGTGTATAATTGAGAATTACCGTCACGAAATTGCATATGGCGTCTTATTTGGCAATTCTGGCCTGTAATTGGTCTGTATAGATCACTTGACATTGAATTTGAAATTTGATTGGATGATATGTGTTGTTGACAAGAACTAAAACTTATTATTTTCTATCAAGTTTTAGGTAAAATTACTCATTTTATTTATATATTATTACACAGTGCTTACATTTCTACACACCACTATTCATCAAAGAACTGAAAATATAGTATTTGTAAGCATTCACAGTTGCTGTGATTTCTTGGTTATATAATATAATGTGGATCAATCTTATACAGTTGTAATAGATGTTATACAATGTGTCATTTACAATTTTAGGCCTTCTGATGTGAAGAATCCAAAGAAGTCAGCAGTGAGATCCATTGCAAGGTTTCCAGTAAGATGTGGCCCCAAACAGTTTGCAGCATATTTGAATGATATCCTTTTAATAGAAAAGTGTTTGTAACCATAGTTCAAGTACAAGTCTACTACCACATGCAGAGCAGCTTAGCTCAGACAGCTAAACTTGTTGTAGCCACTGTGTATGCGTGTGTGCCACTGTGTGTGCGTGTGTGCCACTGTGTGTGCGTGTGTGCCACTGTGTGTGCGCGTGTGTGCCACTGTGTGTGCGTGTGTGCCACTGTGTGTGTGTGCGTGTGTGCCACTGTGTGTGCGTGTGTGCCACTGTGTGTGTGTGCCACTGTGTGTGCGTGTGTGCCACTGTGTGTGCCACTGTGTGTGCGTGAGTGCCACTGTGTGTGCGTGTGTCCCACTGTGTGTGCGTGTGTCCCACTGTGTGTGCGTGTTAAACCGTGCGGATCTGTAGGCCTCCAGGTTTAATTCCAATTGCTGCTCTCCTTGTACTTGTGTATTTCAGCTGGAGGGCTGAAAAGCAAATTACAATAGCACACTGTCATTTTAAAGAATGCAGTACACCTTTCGAAAAAGAGCAGGGGATTGTCTCCCGGTGTACTGCAAGCAGCACTAGAAGGAACGCACTGGAAACAAGTTTTCTGATGTAGTGGGTTATCCATGATGTGATTGTGATTCACACCAAAAATACTCCTATTCTACCTTTTGGACATGTAGCCTTATAAACTATTTTTTAAACCAATATCTAAGTTGGCTGGTCCCTCTTGAATAAGTCTCTTAAGCCTGGTTTCCATAAAATCGCTACACGCTATCTCTGACTTCTTTGGCGACCCTGATTGGTCAATTGAATCAGGGAGCGTTCGCGATTACGTCGGCACAGCGAAACAGTGTATAAGGATTACAGTGAAAACGCTGTAGCGACTGTGTAGCGATCGTATGGAAAAAAAGCATTAGGGAATAGAGGTGTGTTCCTCCAAGATCTCCGTCATGATACCTTAATAGGACTGCCTTTTGATTTATTAATGATTGCATTGGATTGGATTTATTTGGTGTAAACACCAAGGATAGCCCATGGTGGTGATTGGGCAGTACACCGGGAGACAATCCCCAACTCTTTTCCGAAGAGTGTACTGCATTCTTTAATGTGTACGTGGGCCAACTGCTTAAACGTCTCATCCGTAAGATGGTGCACTATTGTAACTTGTATTTCAGCCCTCCAGCTGAAACACAAGGAGATGCAGCGATGAGAATTGAACCTGGGACCTAGAGATCTCCACAGTTCAACGCACACACAGTGGCTACCAACAGGTTAGCCGACTGAGCTAAGCTGCTCTCTCCAGCTTATTTTTGTTATTTTCATAATAAAATAGTTTACCATGAGTATGAACTTGGCTTCTCATTTTTTAATTGTTTAGTATTTTACCTTAAATCATGAGTACATATGGGAACGATTATTTTTGAGGTATTACGTGGACAAACAATGACACCAATGGGAAAAGCTCAAATCAATGAAATTGGACACCTGACCCCAACAAGACCAATTAATGGGTATGCTCATGTTTTAACTTGTGTACCGATTTATTGTGAAAATATTTTTTAATTGATTAGTTTTTTTTTTACTTTTTTCTTCAGGTCCCCAACAATTTGCTTGTCAAATTTGCTAGATATCTTGCGGCCGTTCCAGGGGCGGATTTAGTGGGGGCCGG